ACAGTATGATGGCAGGCCAAGGAAGAAATAACAAAATGTAAGATATATGCAGGTCACATAGCATTCAGATCATTATTTCCAGAACAATTGTCAGAAACTGGAATTATAACATGTTGGGGAAGCACAACTAGAATCAGACAAGATTGTTGCTCCAAGCAAGCAACTGGCCAATTTATTTATTTTTTTATTTTGGCTAAACTGTGTTGCAATTTTGTGATGTAAATAACATGAGGCAGGTAAGTGTAAACTGCATCTGAATGCTGCTGCTACACTTGTACCAAAATAATAACTATAATTAAACATTCATGTGAGGTATGTAGCGATCATATTACTTTCCACAGGCCCATTTTCATCTTCATAGTCTATACCTTTGCTCATCAGCAACATCCCACCTTAAATGCCACATGTACACTGTAATGAAATGAGTTACACAATGCAAAGTTAACAACAAAGTAGTAAATCATTAAAATAATCAGCCAGACAGTCTGAGTAATGACACTTGATGATGCAAACTTGAGAAGTTATTTTCAAGAAGAAAATCAATTCAGTTAAAACGGGCTGTTTGAAAAGGACCATCTGACCGTGCGATTTTCTTTAGAGAAATAATCAAAAGAAGTGGAGCAAAAGGCATCACAGAAGAACTCATCGATCTTCATTCAAACCCCCAAAAGGTTTGAACGTGTTTGGCTGGTCAGATCTTTGGATCACATCCCTCTTGCCCTTCTGAGGAGTCGATAATTCAGCAGGGGAGGAAAAATTCTAAAACACACGTCAGTTCCTCCGGCTCCCTAAACGGCACATCCTTATGCTGTCCTCTCACTGGGTGGTCTTTCAGGGATCTTGTCAATTTGTAGGGAAACCTCAAGCAGGGCGGCAGGTCTTCTGGCAGATACTGATAGATATGCGCTTATCTTTTTTAAAATTCTCTTGAACTACATGATAATGTTATTACCGCACACATACAAACAAATAAAGGCCCCATTAGCTACATTCTAAATGTTATTTGTTTCTCTGTGATTCAATATGATTTTTGTAAGGGTTTATCTACCAAAATGACCATTTCTAATCTCTCTTTATCCCTCAGAACTAAACAAGTGTATGTACACACATACACTTTTGTTACTGTACCTTTAGGACTGTGATGTACAGTATTGTTCAAAAGTTTGGAATCACGTTATTAGTGTTATTTTCGATGGAATACAAATGTAGATTTAAATCCTACAAACTCATAGCCTTCGGTGTAAAACACTCATATTGCATATCTATTTCTGTGATTTTTAGATTAAAAGTAGATGAAATCCTACAAACTAGACATCAAAAAGTATTTTTAGATGTTTTATTCAATATTTCAAGGATAGCTTAACTAACTTCCTAAATTATTTAAAATGTAGAAAATTGCACAGAAATTTGTTTTGTTTATATGAGATTAAATTAGTTTTATCTTATTGAAAAACAATTGACTACAAATCTTTGAATAGTACATACAAATAACAGTATAAATGACATCTGTTCTGACTTGCAGCTCTCTACTGCATATGACAGAAAGCAGCGCAAGCAGTACTGCTCTTGCAGGCTATATCACGCTGCATATCTATTTCACACAATAGATATGCAATAACAAGTTTAGAGGATAACATGGAGAAGACTGTTTATTTGAGCTTAAGCTCTATCATTGGAAGTCCTCCTCTAATACTCATACTTGCAGCTGAAGCCAATTTAGCTAATTATTACAAATTATTAGCACTATTATATAGCTAATAAGTGCACCAAAAAGTAAACTAGCATGGCCTGTTGATGTGTCGAGTTTGCTCAAGTGATGGTATCTAGTTATGTAGATCATGCTAATATTATTAGCATTTAGCAGCATCTTTACGACGATCATTCCAGTCATCCTCAAGCAGGTGGAAAATGAAAGAACTAGAACCATGAGTTCCAATGGTCAGTTCTTGTTTTTATATATGCAGCAGAAAAACACCTTTAGTTGCCATATTTGGACCTGATCAACAGGAGAGTAAATGGTGTGTTTTGAAACTTTAATACTGTTCACACTTTACAGTTACCTTTTTAACTTCTAAAAAGAAAAAAATATTCAGTTTTCCATGATATGAGCCCCTTAAAAAATCAATTAATAAAAAATTCATAGAAGAAATGTTGGGAGCCACATCACGAGAACCAAAACCAAACAGAAATAACAAAAGAGATAAACTCTCACATCATACCTGGACTTATCCTTGCTGGGGTGTGCAGTAAGTAAACTTAGACCAACATGAGAAACACTGGGCTGGGCAGCTCAAACACAGTTCCCTGGAGAGAAGTCAGCAGAGACAGACATGAGCAAAAAACAGCATTTTTAAACAAATGATTGTTAACACTGCGTGTGAAGTTCATGAGGAATTCCATTGGTATGTGGAGAACACATCTACAGAAAACAGCTAGCCTCAATTAACATCACAGCACAATCAAAAAGACAACATTTCAGTATGTAGGCGCTGTAGGCAAGTGGAAAAAATTCCTCAGAGAAAACACAGTCGGCACTCTTCCTTGAAATTACTCATTATAATTTAAATTTCAAATTAACAGTACTTGAGCAGGTCCTCCCTCTTTGTGAAATGATGCTCAGACTAAATGCCCAAAGTCCACAGTCCATCACTGTCCTTTCCTCTTATCTTAACTAATGTGCATAATTAAATAATGGGGGGTTAAAACTTTTCAGTTCAGAAGCAGTAATGTAAAATCAAACCTTAAAAATGGTTCAGAAATAACTATGTCCCTATTAAACGAGATGACAAAATGGAAGATATGGCCAATGTTCTTCCACTTATTAGAAAATCCCAGTCCACTTTGTTAAACTTTTTGATTGTGTCTTATTATTTATCGTCATTTAGGTCTTTGCTTCTCCTACTCTATGTTCGGAAATGCTAAAATCTACAGGGTACACAGTTTCAGCACTGTGTTTGAACGCTCCTGAAGTCTGCAGTTATAAATAGATATGGCACAGCCTGACCGGTACTACTGCCTTAATTCTTCTGATGGCATCAACACTGCCAATCACAAGAGAGTAGATTTCTGTTATAGCGCATGTTGTCTTTTTTTTAATTAATCCTCCTAATTTGTTAGAAAGTAAAGAGTGGAACATACATTATTTCTGCTTGTACAGGACCACCCCTCCATACATAACCTCTTTACTATTAGAAATCTCAACCTCGAGCAATTCCAGAACAAATCTATCAGCTAGAGGTGTTAGCACCACCTCATGGTGGGACACAGCCATGAGCAAAAGGAATCAGGGGAGATCAACAGAGAACCAAAAAAGGTTCAAAAAAAAAAAGAGCCTATATCATCACCACCATTACAAAATGATCTAAGTCTGCAGTTACTGAAGCATGGATTATGTGGTATTCTTCACATTATGATAATCTAAATTTATTTAAAGGAAGGAGAGAGAGAGAGAGAGTGTGTGTGTGTGTGTGTGTGTGTGTGTGTGTGAGAGAGAGAGAGAGAGAGAGAGAGAGAGAGCTTTGGTATAAAGAGGTCACTTTACCTTATGTGACATGCACTCTGTACAAATGTAGCCAAATAAATACGACAATAATTTGAATACACTAATGTAGTCCAATGCAACCCCTAGCGACATCTCTGCTAACTTTTGTGAACTGATGAACACTGAAAAGTTTAAACAAAACTTTAAGATGGACAACTATACATGCTGTTTAAGGAGTTCTTTTGCTTACAACGGACTGTCATGATTTAGTTTGTAGAGCAAACAGCTTACCGTTATGATAATATACTGAACAAACATATAAACACGAGACGTATTACTGACACGGTTGTACAAATAAACACAGGGTGGGTTGTGACAGAATTCCCACATCAGTATCTGGTTTGAAGAGCACTGTTTGCCTGTAGCAGTACCACATTTTTCGGACAAAAAAAATCCTGTTTTTTTTTGTTTGTTTGTTTGTTTCTTATTTTTATTATTTTTTTGCTCATTAGCTAGCTTTAGCACTTCTGTTGAAAACATGCTAATGTTACATGTCAATGCTGGTAGTCCAGTTAGCAAGTCAGCACCACCTATTTGTCACAAATTTACAGCTTTAAAGCTCCGACTAGCTTTAATACACACCACACCAGCACAGACATTTAATGCAGCTCTCAGTGTTAAAGTTGTCTTCCAAAGCAGGCCCCGTGTCAGGGGGTCCTCTGCCGATCATCATGCCCATCTAAACTAAACCAAAGACATTATTAAGGAGGAGACCGGTCACTGGTTGGAAAATTAACAGCAACGCTCAACATGGCATCTATTTACGGAGAAAATCCCGCCCTTCAGTAAAATTAGCCAATCAGCTTGCTGGTTACGCAGCGAGCGGGAAATACCTGCGCAAGCGCAGTAGCCAGAACATCCCCCTAAAAAAATCACATTTTTGTGTTTCACTGAGCCAAATTATTTGAGTTTTTCAGATTTTATCAGTGATTACATGTATGTTTTTGAAACGGTAATTTGACCGTCAGTGTTGAGTATTTTGGTTTCTTCTCTTTCAAAAAGTCATTTTATATGCCTTGAAATGACTGTCCCAAGGCATTGCCAAGATGGCCGCCGAGCGAAAACACTTTCCTATAAGGACTTTGACCAAACCCGCTACTTTTTGTATGAGTTTGCATCAGCTGGGAGAAAAAAAACTTTTGAAGAGACACTACTGTTGCGTGCCTGACAATGAGCAGCTACATCAATTACCATAGTATGGCTTGAGTGCTCTCTGTATTGGCTGCTTTACAGGCATGCACTGTATGTTGTGGCTCCTTTTTTGTAGTGCATGGTCTTGCATGTGTCTTGCATATTCATGCTAATTAAATAATTTTTAAAGAAGCATTACATACATTTAAAAAAAAAAATTAAAAAGTCAGCAGAAAAAAGTGTGTTAAAATATGTTTTCAGTGCGTTGCTGCAAGTCACCCTGTAAAGCCTGAAACAATCATTTAAAAGTGAGTCGGTTTGGAGTTCACAAAGGTTTTTCAGACCACACCGGAATCTTTACCTTTATCTATTAACATCACACACACAGAATCAAAAATAAGGTCTAACTCGATGTTTAGGTCTCAATTACAAAATCAGCATTACACTGATAAAGATGTGATGACAACAATAGATCATTCACTTACATCCTGACATCCTTGAGTTCTCTTTGAATGCTTTTTCAACACACTCACAATCATCAGATTCACCCTCTCGTTGGGGTCCGAAGCACAGCCGGCGTTACAAAAGCTTCTGCACGTTGTGTGCAATTACACATTTCCACCAGAGTTCTCCAAATCCCCAAATATCACATAGTGCAGCTTTAAGCATATAAATATCTATAAAACGGTGGAATATTCAAAACAACATTCACTAAAACATCCAAAAATGAAAATATTCAACTGCATTTCCATGTTTCAAATTTTATATGTACGTCATGTGCCATCTCAAATGTTTCATGCCACACAGCAGGTTTCTCTTGGGAACTGGTACCCTTTGGGGACTGGGCCTTTATAGAGACTTCAATTGAGTTTTATTTTGCAGCTGTTTTAAATAATTGTTTCAAAAAGATAACATTGTATATTGAGTGTCAAAAAACCATCATCATAAGCTTAGACACAATATCCCCAAATTTACAGCAGCTAAGGAAACGTATAAAGGACTTCATAGTAGTTAAAACTGGCAATTTCGGTTGATATTATATCAAGTAATTGTTTTAAACAGTTGCTAATATGCAGGTGAGTGCTGTTTTAGCTTAAACATAAGTGTTAAGATCATGCAGAATGCTGCCCTCATGCATTGGTGATCAATGGCTTAAAGCACGTGTCAGGCTCCAGTCTTTGGGGGCCAAAACACTGCAGACTTCACCACACCGCGTCATTAAACACACACGATTCAGCGCATCAGCTAAATACCAAGGCCATCATGTACTGAATTCAGAGCGGCAAATGCTAATCTCCACAGCACTTTGGCCTGGAAGGTCCCCAGTGTGACACACCTGGCTTAAAGACTAAAAAATACATTGAATGAACACAAACAATTAAAAGGCAAATAGTGATTTCAGTTCAAACAAACTGATTTAAAAATCACTGAGTTGCACAAAGCTGAGGAGCAGCAGCCTAATGATGTGCCAGTGCTGCCCTCTGCTGAAAATATCCCAAACTACAGTATAAGGTATAATACAACATAATACAGAAAGAACAATCTACAATAATCATATAACTTGGCTAACATAGTGCCTTCAAAGCCTCTTATTTAACTGGGGACTACAGCTTAGGAGCAGTTTTTGCATTGCATTCCATGTGCAATGATGTAACATCTAAATGTTATAAGTTTGTAATTAAGTATTCTGAAAATTTTCCACAGTTTTTTTTAAACGGTACAGCTGTTGTGCTCTAACAAGTAGCAATCAGATCATGTAAATGATTTCCTGTAAACTGTGGACAAACAGAGATAACATCTGAATGTAGAGAAAAATTTTAAAATGTCAGGGGAAAAAAAACCCTGTCTGTAGCCTGTAGTTCACACATACATCATCCGCTGTGTCAGTGCACTATAAACAAAGCATAAACTCTGAGTCAGAGAAAGAAACATTTTGAGTGCAGAAAACAAAACTCATTTAACTTCACACCTCCGTCTGTCTGGCTTTCTGCTGACAAGTTTGCAGAAGTATATTTCTAGAGTTTCGCAGAGGAACGCGGGCATTTCGTTGCTGTCATAACAAAACCTCTCATCTCCAAAATAATAACCTTTCAGAAGTAGGAGAAGATGCTCTCATCTTTTAGTCTAATTTAAGGTGAGACTTGTCCATTCATCATGAAAATCACGTTTACAAAAAATAGAGTTTTGATATGACAGCGACAATTTGAAGCTAGTTCTCATTTGTAATATACCATAGCAAGTCTTGATTTCCTTCGTCTGTGTATTCCTGGTTCTTGCTTACTATGCACATCCACGCTCATCACCCTCCACATATGAAGCACTGCCAGTAGTGCAGAAGCAGTTCCTTGGTTACTATCAAAACATGTCTTACTAATCTTCAGCTAAGCCTTGAAACATCCAGCAGTTGCCACTCCCCATGCTGACGAGGACACTGTGTGAAAGGCTATCTGCCCAGTGCCATTCCAATCATTCCTTCTGTATCCAGTGATTTTTAAGCTATACTAATAATGTCAGGTTGTGCACGGGTACAATTATAATAAATCAACTGTAGAATTGTTCTTTAGATTTTCAGAGTTCTGTCTCCTTCAGACACATCAGTCCAGTTTGATAGCCCCCAAGTAGGTAGAGTCTCCATCCAGAGAGATGTTTGCTGTGGAGCGAGGTATTAGCAACTCCACTCTGTCACCAACTTCCAGCTTTACAATCCCTGCACACAACAAACCAAAGATCTCACATTTAATGTAATCCTTATACAAACAGCTGTCAAATAACTAAACAGAACATAGCAAAATACTGTACTACAGTAGGAAGGGAAAAACTAAGAGAGAACTATACGTTGAGACACTGAAAGCATGCTCATGCCATCTGTTATGTGGTGAACTAATCTCATTAGTGGTAAATACTATTTTTAATCTGGTTCCAGTAATTTTTACTCCTAAATGAGTTAGAAATGTAGACTGTGGTTTAAGGAAAAAAAATGTGAACTATGCTACTGCCTTATATCGTGCCACGCTAATTACATTTGCAAATTAAGCTTCCTTCCTATGTTTTTTGTTAAGCACAGTGCTCCCTCACCTCCTGTGTAGCAGGTGTTATAGGGAAACTTCAAATTCATGCTCTGGATGCAGCGGAACAGAACGACATGTTGATTTTCGTCCCCGACCACGTTCTTCTTCATACGGATCACTATGTGACCCATTGCAAAGGTGGAATCTTTGTAATACACCTTGGGAAAGGAGGGAAGGCTTTGTATAGGTCATTTCATAGCAATATCCAAAGTTATCATGCTCACAAGAACAGGTATGAACTGTAACAATGATCAAATACAAATAAGTAACACTTTTACTCATAAATAAATGTGGCCAAACATACATATGGCTCAAAGTCTAGTACATAAATTACAAACCTAATAAATAATTTGGGAAATATGTCATATTATAAACATAATATATAGGCATACGTTGGGTATTTTATTATATTGGCTATTATATTATATACATAATATATAAAGTGGTGTACAGCACTGTGTAAAAGTCTTTATTTAGTCTGTACTTATTTATTCAATTTCCAGTCAAAATGGCCATTAAGTACAGGTTATTCATTTTTCAGGAGCTTAAGGAAGGAGAAAGTCAAAAGAAAACAAGCAAAAAACAAGACTTTCCAAAACTGGAGGGCAAAAATTATTAAAAGGTACAAAGAAAATAAAACCCCTAACAACCACGCAGGACCTGGTAGACAATTAAAACTGTCATCATCAGATAAACAGTACTCAAAGCTTTCATCTTTGAGAGAAAGGAGAAAATCAAGCTCCAGTCTTGCTTCAGATCTGAAAAAGTCCACAGGTGTTTTTGTCCATCCTTCCACTGTGAGAAGACAACTCAACACTAGCCTGAGTGTGAAAGGATGTGTAGTTGTCAAGAAGCAAAGGAAAGGAAACTCTGCTGAAGAAGCTCCTGTATTCTCAGAATAATGGACAGCCAGCCAAGAATTCAGACCTCAATATCACAGAATGTGTTTGAGATTACTTGGATCATGAGAAGCAGAAAATGCAACTCCTACACGTGCAAAAATATATAAAAAAGATTTCTGTGAAAAATAATGAAGACAAAGGGTGGACGCACTAAACACTGAAAAAAATTATATTATATACAGTCATTAAGGCTTCTGTGTGATTTACTGTTAAATATATGTCTCTGCTTATGCTTTTTTCCCCTGATGCTGAAAAATGAATAACTTAATGACCGTTTTGTTTTTTGTCTTCAAAAGCAAGGAAGAAAGAAAGTTCAATTAAAGGCCTAAAGCTTTGTTGTGAAGAGCCTGTCTCACTGTCTATGCTACAGGATGTTTGTCTTTAGGACTAAATTCTGTTATGATGTTACCTCTGTGACTGGTGGGTCACAGTGCTCTACCTGACTGTAGATGAAGAAGAAGCCCTCTTCTTTGACCACTATGGTGTCCTGATCCTCCTCTAGAGCCTCGCCTCGCTTTAGACCGGTTTGCCATGGGACCCCTGTGTGTGTCTCCAATGCAAACTCTGAGCAACGCAAACAAGCAGACAAAGATCACATCGGAATGGAGAACATCTAAATGTCAGACAACAGATTACAAAAAAAAGGAAAGAAAAAACAAACCCAACGGCAGATCCACATTTAAGACAAGCTGAAGGCTAATATCAGCCTTTTGATGTTATTACTTTCTGTTCATAGTCAGGGTAAACTGCTTTATTTATTCGCCATGCTTTTTTATTCAATTGTCAGACCATGAACAAATGCCAAGCACTGCTTTTGAACATCTCATATTTTAAATATAGAACAGCAAGCATCCCCATTACCTTTCTGAAAGACTTCCCTCTTGCTGTCTGCCATCATCTGCAAGCAGGGCTGAAACGCTGAACAAGGAAAGAGGAAAAAAAAAAGTGTTACAAAGCCCCTATAGGCAATACTGCATGCCCCTGAAATTTAGCCTCAACTTCTTCAAGCCTCAGTCTTGTAATAATGCAAGGATGCACATGTAATGTATGCATATCTGCGAAACAAAGATAATCAGGGGCTGTATTTTTAAAGAAGATCAAACACTTTAATGTCTGTAATGAGTTGCTGACACTCTTCTCCAACTCTTTTATGAAGTCTATTTTAAACTCTGATATTATAGCCTGGTATGGTAACCTGGTATAGTCAAAAACAAAAATAAAAAAATATAAAACAAATAAACTAGACAAGGTAATAAAAGCAGCTGGTTAGATTATTGGTGAGCATAAATCCACACTTTCTGACATCTCGGTAAAATAACGAGCCATACCTTCTACTACCTAAATAAAGAATATGAGCTGCTGCTCTCAGGAAGGAGATACAGAATCCCCAGGGCAATAGACAGAAACACTCTTTCGCAGCATGTGCAATAAATTTACTTAAATTGCACACTTTAATCTTCCAAGTCAAGTTAAGTCAAATTTATTTATATAGTGCCTTTTACAACAGATGTTGTCACAAAGCAGCTTTACAGAGAATCCGGGTCCACGCCCCCAGTCAGCAAGCCTTGGCGACAGTGGCAAGGAAAAACTCCTTCAACGGGAGGAAGAAACCTCGAGAGGAACCAGACTCAAAAGGGGAACCCATCCTCCTCTGGTCGACACCAGATAACAGCACAGACACAAAACAGTATAAGTGGATAGAGACACACCATATCTTTAGCATTTTAAATTTTAACACAGTCCTGAATGTATTATTTTCATTATAAGTTTTTTATTGTTTCCGTATGGTTATTTAGACAGTGTTAGACAGTGGTTCTTATTTGTGGTTTGCTTTATTTCATTCTACTGTCTGATGTTTTTCTACTGCAAACATTTATATGTATATTTATATCTTGGCAAGTGAAATCATCTGATATCTAGTTCACATTTCTCATTTTGAAATTATTGTAATAGTATTATAAGATTATCTATTTCATTTCTAGACATTTTCTATTTGTTTTAAGCAATTTTATCAAATTAAATAACTTTTTTATTGGAGGATATTTTTGCTTGTTTCAAGCGTTACTTCGTAATAGAAGCAAAATGATCTGTCAATAGAATAAGACAATTTCTTTAGATTAAACGACTTAAAACAAAACAAGAAGATGAAAAATCTTACAAAACTCTTACAACAATCTCATAATTTTTTTGCCAAGCAAATTTCCCATGTACAATAAAGAAAGAACCATGAAGAACTGACTGATATGATGAATTAACCCTAATGCTGCATAATAAATTACTGAACTGAATTTGTGAATTAACCCTAATACCCAGTAATAATTATGAAAGCATCTCTGCGCAAATATGATGTGTTTGAGCAAATTTTCCTTTAACAGCGCACACTAACTAATGGCAAACACGGTCAAACATCTGAGTGCTACCATCACAATCTTCAACTCACTAACAATTAAGTGCTACCTTTATAATCTCTAACATGATGCATAAAAGCATAAACTTTATCACACTCAACAGTGCAAGTTCCTTTGTTGAGTTTTTAATCTTGCGCTATCTGTCTGTCTGTATTTCTCGCATACTGAGTCAGTGTTAAAACCTCCCTCAGATTCACAGTAAATACAGGAGGGAAGAAAATCTCAAAACTTTTGAAGTATTCACTGCTGTTGCGTGAGACTAGACACCGAAGAGAAAACGGTAAAATGTTCTACCGTATTAACAGTTTCAAAACTGAGCTAGGGATAAATTTGCATAAGATAGAGGCAACACTGGAAGTCCCATGTACAGTTGAAAGAACAGCACAAAGGGCTTGCCTGATTGATGAAACTTACTTTCCAGACTTCTCTTTTTTAAGCTGGGCGGCTCTGGCTGTCTCCCAGAAACGTCAAACCCCAGTTCAGGGGGTACCACGCTGCTAGTCTGCTGAAGGCTCTGTGGATAGGGCATAATTGCAAAAGACATGACAAGTAACTTTATCAGACTGCAACACTGCAAGTGGAAAGGAAGTACTGAGCTTATCTGGTCATTTCAGACAGTACAAAGCCATTATAATATTTAAATGCTGTGTCATAGAGTAATAATGTTCAATTCACCAAGATCACACTATAAAGGTGCCCTTTAAAGAAATACATGGTGTTACAAAAAAAAAGCATAATATTCATTAACCCGCTTTTGTCCCCTCAGATGTCTCTCATCTCAAAACACCCGTTGTTGCTAAGGACTAAGCTTGGATGATAATTTGAATTTAGACAAATGATTATCATTTGCAGAATTATGAGAACAAACGATCCAAATTCAGTGATGAACCACACGTGAGCACTACAGAGCCTTACCCTATAGCTTACATTTACCCTGTTGTTAACATAATTACCACATAACTACCACCCCGAAAGCTTCTAATGTTAATAATTTACAGTGATACCTATATTTTATACAGACGGCAAGTAACACTTGACATCCTGTGGTTCGCTGCATTCATTTGGTTGGAAACTGCTATATAGTGGAAATACTGCCAAACCGGTGCGGTAGCATCCTTCTTTTGTACTTTCTATCCCAAAGTAGATCTTGTACCAAATTTTATCTGTTGCATTTGTATATACAGCATTCTTTAACCCACGTTATAATCTTTCTGTGTCGCAAAATATGTATGTGTGTAGTTAATTAGGTGATGTTCTGTTTGTGTAGCCTACAATTAAGTGCAATCTTCTCCACTGTAAACATAGATTAGAATGACTGTACAACAGGAATGGTTAAAGGCTAAACGATGAAATAAAAAGCATATGAAAGAAAGAAAGAATGATCATTTGAATTATTAAACAAATCATTGTAATATTCCAAAATATCAATTATCAGCTCAAGGCTACTAAGGACTGCACATATCTCCTCTCCGTCACACTGTCTATCGTTCTGTCCTTATTGTTTGGCACAGCTTTTTGTATGGTGTATATAGTGTAATGTGTTTAAGATCATGTTGGCACTCATTTTTCCCCCTACTGTATTATGTTAAATTTAGCCCTGTGGTTTCGAAGGAACTGTACGTTGTTCTTCTCTAAACATATCTGATGAAAAGAAATAACAAACTTAATGACTTGACTTAATCTCTTCGACCTGCAGGGTCTCTTCCTTTCTGTTGCTGTTTCTCACCTCAGCTTTATTTCTGTTGTCCTGTTGCTGAGCCTGCGGCCCTCTCACACTTTCCCCCGGCGCACTCTGCTGTTCCTCTCTCCTGCGGCTCACCTCGGTCCTCAGCCCCTCCACCTCAGCCTGCAGAGCCAGCACGTGATACAGGGACAGAGCCGACAGGGAGGACGAGGTGATGGTAGCCAGAGTCAGAATCACAACTGCCCAGGAGAGCCTTCGGCCCTCAGCCCGAGTTGGGCCAGTACTCATTGCAGGCATTATGGCACCTCACACCTCCACAGCCTGAGGAGTACAGCGTGATTTGCTTTTGCTGTACAGAGACAGGTTTCAAAGTGTCAGCATTTGGCAAAACTCACATCTTTTGTTGCGGTTCACAGTGAAAGGAAGTCTTCTATGTCATGCAAAGCAGAAACCTACCCTCGGTGTGAAGCTGGATGCATGAGGGAGCTTCAAATGAAGATCATAAAGTACTTCTTTGTCCCATGGCCTTTGACGCACCTCTGGAAATCAATACATCTGTATTGAGCAAAAAACAATCAACCACATATCTGTACACATATTCAGCCTGTATTTGGAATGTATCAGATCAGAGTCTTTTCTAAACATGGGCCAGTCTGAATGACTTCCCCCCGTGTAAAGGCCGTGTTTGTAGCACATCGCAGCCGAGGAGGGATGGACAGCCAAAAACAATATAAAGACTTACAACAAAAAAATAAACCTACCGCAAGCTACACAGTGGTTTTCCCATTAACAACTTAAGTCTGGTCAGGTTCTTGTGTCCGGTTTTACTCCCTTTATAAAGTGGCTGAACAGGGAACTCAGTAGAGCGTAGTGTCAGAGCCCTGCCTCTATTTCAGGCAGTTACCCAAAGCTGTGCAGCTTCCTGCCAAGCTCTCTACGCCTCCTCTCTGCAGCCCCTCTCTGCTCCACTGTACACGAGAGAGGGACCAAAAACAAAACAGCAGAAGTTTCCATTATATTCAATAAATGCTTCAACTCCAAGCAGTGTACAAAAGAACGTAACCAAAACTGGCAGAAACATTAATCTAAGATAAAAGTAGCTATGTCAAACTCGGCTCAGAATTAGTTCAGACAAATAAGGAAGTGCATAAATTACACTGACAAAGCTACATTAATTCAACATTATTCCCGCAAAAGCAAAATGAAACTATCATCTCACTACAGAAACAATGAAACGGAGGACCCAGACACTTGCCAACATAGAAACATGCAAGCCTTTGAAACATGTTATCAGAACCTTCAGCTTGATTTTTTTTTATTGCACACAAAAAACAGAAGGTGTAATTACACACAAACAGAAATACTTAAAAAGAAACTCCACAACTAAATACATAAGTGGTGTGAATAAAAGTGCAACAATTCAAGTATGGCAGAATGAATCACTCCAGCAGCCTCTCAGATCGCATTCATCCTTGAAAAAAAAAAAATAGAACGTTACATTTAAAAAAAAAATCAAGTGAACAAACCAGAAAGAAAGGAGAAATTTCAGTATCTGAGCCAGATGTTATATACTAACATTTTACAAAGGCCCAGTCTTCACCTAACGTGACTTATTTTAAACATCTGCAGTCGTATGCAAAAGTTTGAACATCCCTAGTCAAGCTGCACGTTCTGCTGATTTTCTAAGTGAAAATAAGTTAACACATCTTCTACAAGGAACAAACCTAAATATTTGCACTTTCCGCAAGTTTTAGCACACAATATGTTGTATTCCTTTTCAAAGTGTAACCGCTGCTTTTCATACTGGAAAAATAAATATAAATATGCCATAAACTTTGCACAGAGCACAATGTTACATTCAGGATTTTGCATTAAAATGTGCAAAATGTTTTCTTTGCAGAGGATGCGTTAACTAATTACTTAGAAAAACAACACCCCCCCCTCCCCCCATCATTCAACATGCTTTATTGTATTTTTTAATTCGGAACAAACACAAAATTCTGTAAAGCAAGATGAACACTGGAGGGTATGGAAACCATTTACACGCATCAAGACACACTCACTGAATCATTATGGCACTTTACTGTGATGGCATTTCACACTCCACATGGCAGTACAGCTGAAAGACATTGTGGGGAAAACCAAAGATCAGGACAGAAAAGAAATGAAAAATGAATTCTTCAAACATTAGTAGTGATGTGTACAACTTTCCAGTGTGGCATCCTCTCCCACTATTTAAAGATTACATTATTATCAATAATAAAAAAGGACACCAGAGAATGAAAATAGCTATGTTTCAAATGCTGTATCTGTAAATCACAAATGGAGCTACTAAAAAATCTTCACCATCAGTTTTTGAACTTCTGAAGACTAGATATGTAGCCTACATTTAAAAACATGAAATGCAGCCTATTTATAGCAAACCCAAAATAATATAAAAGAAACACACCACAGAACACACTCCATCTGCAGCCCCTCAGAACATTTTCTCACTGATAAGTCTGACTCATTCCACTGGACTGCACATTAGCGACCATCTTACTCAATAAGAAATTTAATTTCTGTCACTAAGAGCTACACAATAACACAACAGACACTGGTCCTGCAGATTATATTATTGCTGACCACTCATTATTTTGGTTGGAGGCTGCAAGTGCACATTCATCATGAACTCTTCAAAACAGGACAACTTCTAAGGCCCTTACTCCCTTACTTCAATGAACAGTTTGTGACTTCAGAATGTGGGAAGGAAGATATGAATCCACTTTCATATTTCACACTCATAACATTTACTGCCGGTTTAGCTGGTTATGTAACTCTGAGGCTTGACTATTCGTAAAGCACGGCTAATGAAGCATACAGCAATGTACAAATTCACTCTACATATATGTGACTTCTCCAACAGTTTGTGTGGACTTTCTTTTGGTACTTTAATGCAGACTGTGAAAACATTACAGTTCATGCTAAACAAACCAACAGGTACAAACAATTGGTAATGCAAAAGACCAAGTTTATGACCAATTTTCTAAAATAAAGTTGAATTTCATTTTGAATCATGCACATAAAAGGCCTTGCATATTACATTTGCTCTGGCAACAGAACACTTTCCAAATGACTCAGACTACCAAATGGTTAGCCTTCACGGATTGGTTAGGCTTAAACGGACTTTTTTCTTTGTGAGTGTAGTTCCACATTTCCACTGTGGGAACAGGAGGGAAGGGGGGGGGTTCTTATGTTTGTCTTTCACTGATGCCACAAACTTTAAGCTCTCAAACAAACCAAATCCAGCAGCTCGCTCTTCAACAAGAACACCAGAGGTTGCGTAAACCAAATACAGCAGCAGCACAGGTAAATGGCTATGTACTCTGACATGTAAGAGGAAAATGTTATTTACAGGATATGTGCAAGAGATCTGTACTGTCAAGCCACTTTGTGGCAACCACTTTAGTATTAACAAGAGTGGTCAGGCCAAAAGAAAAACCAATCATGCCAGTTGGGAGGAGGGCTCCAAATAGCCACAATGGTATTGTAAAGATTCACGATGCCAATGCACTGAGATTCTTCTGCTCTAACACTTACGTCTACACTCATTTATCACCCAGTACTACAGGCTTCCAGCTGAGAGGATTCTCTGAGAAAATCAATGGTTTCCTGAGCTGATTTTCAAGCTCTATCACTAAATATACGGAAGGTGGCAAGATACGACAAAACCAGTGCACAATCCCATTAGCAAGTACAAGGCTTTCATAACCACTACGAAAGAGAGGATCTTAAAGCCACAACCAAGGTTCTAGTCTTGTTTAACTTCGGTTGTACCTATAAACAGACACTGACTCTCTGAGAAAGCAGTGCCATGACGGCTAGGCTATGATCTGGAGAAATGAGCCCTTAAGATTTTGTGTTTTAAACATTCAAGTGATGCTTACTGTACAAACACAGTAAACAATAAAACACAAATTACATTGACAAAAATGTTTAACACTTTGCCTGACATTATTAGGCAAGTATCTTTATTATACAGTAGGACTTGCAAATGGGTGAACATTTGGTATACCACCGATGACAAAGTCTTTGTATAAAAGAAAAGTCCTGTACAGTCAGTGTGAATGAGTGTGCACAAATGAAAGAAGGCTAAAAGGACATTACATTACAGAAGCAGATCATGCATTCATATTTCAAACTAATTCATCGGAAAAAAAGAAAAATGAGATTTGAAGGCATTTAAAATGCAACCTGCACCACTCAAAAACTTCATATTTGAATTCTTATCAGTATCATATCACTGAAAATTAAGTGCTAGAAATTAATATGGGGAAGAGAAGAAAGAACATAAAAAATGTACATTCCATTACAGCAGGTCCACACTGAGCAGTGGGAGCATTCATTGTTCTAGATGATGGTGACACTGGCCGAGCCCTGGGACGTCTCCTCTTGGGCATGGCTTTTCAGGAGCTCTTTCATGAACTGCTCCAGAGCTGCAAAGTAACCCTGGCACTGCCAGGTATCATTGTGCGTGCCCTCGGGGAAGATGGCGATGCGTTTAGTCCGTGCAGGTGACAGCTCATACAGCTGCTTCATCATAACTGGGGGGATGAGCTGGTCCGATAGGCCAGAAATAAAAAGAGAAGGCATGCGACACAGTGCCACATGTCTGTAGGACAAAAATTTGTTCTTATAGCACCAAAGTGGCAGGTAGCGCATTGGAAAGAAAGAGAAGAGGGTTGCTGCCATGTGTGGGATGCTCAGGAAAGTGTTTTCAACCATGATGGCAGCCACACGGTGAGGGTTGACCGAGGCCAACCTGATGGCCACCGCTCCCCCCAATGAGCGCCCAAACAGTACCATCTTAGTCTTGTCAATGTCTGGACGGGACATGACATAGTCCAGGGTGGCCTCAGCATCCTGATAGAGGCCCTCTTCACTGGGCTCACCATCACTCTTCCCATAACCTCGGTAGTCTACCAGAACCACATTGGCCTTCAGGTTAACAAGCATGAGCAGCGCATTAGGCACTCTGTGGCCAATGTTCCCTGCATTGCCATGAAAATACAAAATGGTGGGGGCTGATGCAGGATTTTCACCAGTGTAGCGGAGCAAAATCACGTTGAGCCGCACACCATCCTTAGTGCGTATGTAGACATTCTCATGTGGAATACCTGTCGGCATAGGGACGTACAGCCTTGAGGATGAAGGCTGGTCAGGGAAGTAAAGCAGCACGTCCTGGAACTTGTACAGGATCCCAGCCACAGAGGCCAGGATGAGACCCAGCAGTAAAAGGCCTCCATACAGGTGGAAGGTGAGTATAAGTGCCAGCAGTGAGATGCGACAAGCCCCCCACGACCAGGAGCCCACAGTCACCATACATCGCTCCAGTGCTCCCCACAACCGCCATGACTTCTCCATGACCATCAGGTTGACAAGAGACACTCCAATCTCACTTTACAGGTAATCTGGGGACAAATCAGAAGAACACGAAAAATAAAGAATGTCAAATGCACAGATAAATAGGCAACAGTATAAGAAACGTATTGCGTTAAGTGTGCTTAAGCTAGAAGAACTGGAGACGAATAAACTGGGGGGGATCGCAGCTCAAACAAACGCCAGAACGATTTTAGATATGGCATTTACGTCGGACACAGCAGTAGCACAGCGCCTCAGGGCTCGTCACTTAACCGTGTCCACTGTCACCGCAGCGTTATCACTCTTGATCGACCTCTATCGTTTTGCATGTTAAGAGCATTCTCCATTCCCTGACCACATTAAGAGCAATTAATGTATGCACAGAGTACATCACGGACTCATTATAAGCTATAGCCAATGGACAAACTGCTGACAAATGACCAAAGACAGCCAGGACTGTCAGCCTGGCTGCAACCAATGTTATATTCATACTGATCAACATCACGCTCTGAGCTGGTTAGGCTGGAGATCAACAACTACAAAACAACTGCTCTATCTAGCTAGCAGAGAAAAAAGCTGCACGGTTATTTTCAATTTTAATTACCTGAGTTAGCTGCTCCGCGCCTGTCTCTGTGACACAGTCACTGTGGCTGTAAGTTAACATCAAACTGGCAAATGCAGCACACAGTGATCCTTAGTAAAGCACTGATGTCGACAGCCTGTTAGCTGAGCACTGTGAACTCTGTCTGTGTTACAGTGTGCCGTGCTCAGGTGTGTTCTTCACTAACCTGCTTCTTGCTGTCATGCTACTGCTCAGTTAGCCTGGAGCTAGTTAGCGAGCCTGTTGTTAGCCACGTCAGAACGGGGCGCTTTCCACACCGACAGGAGCAGCCAACACACAAACAGCACCGACTACAGGTACTCACATATATCGCATTCTTCAACGGCACATCTTTAAATGCAGTAGCTAAGAAAATGGCCTCAGTTGTGGTCAAACCAGTCTTCTTCAGCCATTTCGTGCGGATCCGTTAGCTGCTAGCACACTAGCCAGAATGCTCCCCGTCTGTGTCACTACTTAGTCGTTCCGGGTGGAAACCGCGGAACCTATAGAAACTAGGATCTATGCTTCGTGGAAAGCCGTTCCACAGTTTAGCTATAACTACGTTTCTTCCTGTAACAAATTAAATCTGAAAAAGTCAAAATGTTATTAATACTAGAAAAAAATATTAATTTTGATGTGTTGAAATTGTTTGAATTGATTTCTTACTCCCTACAACTGCATTATTGCATTTAAAAATGTAGTTTTTACATGTTATAATAGAAAGCTTTACTTTTACATGCGAGCTGTTTCACAATTAGAATTTCGTCATGTCGAAGTTTATTTTTTACTTGGGAAAACTGAAGTAGCACATGTTAAATTTTGTTAAACGTTAAATGTATTTATCCTCCTGGCCCTGTCTAATATTAACCCTAAACCGTCTCTGTTGGCCTTTGGGTTGCCTACCCTGGACTGACGATGGGGCTTAAGGAATTAGTTGAGGCCTCCTGGAATTTTGTAAACTCAATCCTTGAGGTTTTTAGTGGATTTCTTTTTTTTTATCATGGAAACATAATAAAAAGTAAAACATATTAATGTTTGTGTCTCATCTTTGAAAAGACGACTGTTGTAAACAAACAACCCACAAAGTTCCACACATAATTAGTTGTCACTACCACTGCCTGTGTCACAACAAGACAACAGCACAGAACTTATTACAGTCATACATGAATTAGAACAGACTAGCTAGCTAATTTGATGAGCCACAAAGAAAGCCTCCCAGTAAGAAATATTTCTGCACACGCAGAGGAAAGAAATGTTCTAAATGAGCTCTCCTCATGATCTTGGGTACTTCTGCTAGACGTGGTTAAGTCCAGTTTGAAATCAGAGTGAGACTTTAGTCATCTCCTTTTTCTGAAATTTGGCTCCTGAGAAAAAAACCCTCAGATTTTCTCACTTTGATCAAAATGTTGTCACACATATGCCTTAACTCTTTAGTGTCTGAATCATCTCAACCCAGTCTTAGCTGACTAATATTTTCTCTATTCTACATCACAGAACTCTTTCAGTGGGTTGTCAGTGCTGAAGGAGAACTCACACTTTTCTCCTTCATCACCAAAACGTCTTACAGTGAAATGCTGGTGTTAATCTCCTCTTTTCTCCTAAGGGGGGTTTAGGAGAAACAATTCAGAAATCAGTGATCCTTCATTAATATTATATTGAGATCTGTTTATTTCTCTGAGACAGTCTTAAGTTTTTTTTCCCTCTGGGCATTTGATGAAATGTGAGAGGTTAACAGCTAATGATATACAGTGGCAATAAAAAAGCAAAATTAATAGATTTAAAAAAATAACAACAAATCTCAAAGAATTCTGTCAGATGGAATTGATGACCTTAGATGTCCCATGATACCTGAATCCACGATGGTCTCAGTGCCTCAGTCAACTTCAAGACTTAGTCATGTCGTCCTTTAAACTTTCAGCATAAGCAGTTTAGCAGCACTTTTAAGTTACCTACCAGGACTGATATCAATTTCTTAATCGTCTTCAATTATATCACCAAGTTTCACTCCTTTTAGAAGTGCTGTAATATGATAGTCAGTAGTATTGGCCTGTGAGTTGGATCACATCCACACATTCATAGAAGACCACTCAGACACAAGTTAACAGATTACATCTCTGTGTTTATTTTCATCAGAACACATTTTTAATCATTTTAGCAGTAGATTTCATACCTTTGAAAAGATCATGAATCGTGAGATTGTTTTTATAAATAATTCATCAAAGTCGTTTGTAAAAAATTAAAGAAGTTACTGAACTAAATCATCTATAATATTACAATATACCGGTAGTATAATAATCCTTTTTTTTAAATAATCATATTCATAATGTTATCTCTATATGCCTTTTAACCTCTATATGCCTTTTAACCTTTTTTAAATCTTTTTTTGTTTGTTTTTTGTTTTTTTTTATTTTTTTAATCACAGCCTTCAGGTGCTGAGGTTGTGATTCAGAGGATAGTCCTTATGGTTAAACCACATCACTCAGAATAGATCTCAGCTGAAACCCAACCAATGATTTCAGACACTTACAAAAGAGGAATAAAAAAGGACACCAACTCCGAACGCAAGGAAACCTCGAAATAAAACAAACGCACATAGTTCAGCATTCTCATAACATATTTACAACAGAAAAACGACTGAGGTTCAGGGCTGCATAGGTCCACAGGATAGAGAGAGAGAGAAAAGAAAGTATTTCTGCTTGCTAAGTGACAGTGATGCAATGGGGGACTACTTACACAGTTGTATTTATAGTCGGAAATGAACATATACTGTATATGTGCAAGCATAAAATACATCTTATTCGTAGGTTTGGTGGTAGTAAGCAATATTAGCAGGCATCTGTTACATTCATTCTTGTGGGCCGCTGAGGCACAGTGACTGGACCCACACAGACACACAGAAACATGTTTAAAAAAAAAAAAGTGACATGGACGATCAGAACCATTTCCGCTACCTGCAGTTACAGTAATATCATTCACGGATTTGGTATGCTGACGTAGTATGACATGAGCGTGTTGACGTTGACTGTAAATGCTGTCTCATTCAGCATCTGTGGTGGGGGTGAGGGGGTTTGGGCTGAATGATGTAGCCTATACAGTAACACTGCAGACAGTGTGTTGTGAGATACCTTCCTGAAAATTTAAGCATCATGTACACAGAGAATATGCAAAAAGGTCTACAGAGAACACATAAATGTCCCAGCGCAGTTTCATTAGTGTAGTTTAATGTGCTTGTGTTGCTGAGCGTTTTCCAACACTCAGCCTAACCTGACATTGGAGCACAGGGCTTAAACAAATAAACAATTTACGTACACAGTTATAGGTATTTCTCTTTCTTTCCCTGTCCCTCTACCTGCTATGGCTTTCCCTCCTATTATCTTTCATTCTGCTGTCTGCTCTGTCCCTTTTCTCCCTCGCTCTCTCATTCCTCTCCTGTCAGGTCCAGATGGAACTGTTTATTTGTGGATTAGTGTGTATCTGATGTGTGTGGGGTAGATGAATGGAGTGAATAATTCTTGCTCTCTCTTTCTCTCTCTCTCTCTCTCTCTGTGCCACTCCAGAGCAGGTGGTCTCAGAAGAGAGTCCAGTGAGAGTCCAGTTGTTTCATGAGTAGGCTAATAAGATCTCTAGAGGGCCGTCTCTCTGTGGTCTCCGTTTTCATTATTCATTAGGCGAGCGCTGACTGTATCAAAGCCAAGGCTCACAAGCCCACCTGCCTGACCTAATACATCCCTAACACTTCTTAACATGCTTTAAGTCTGATTTGTTTTTTATCCTGGAACCCAGCCCCTTTCTACTTTTCCATCAACCTGGTGAGTCGGACCCTTTAGATCATTAGGCTAGAGGTATTCAGAGAGTCACAGAGCTGAAGGTTTAATGAACAAGAAGGGTTTAAATGGAAGATTAAACTTAGCACAGGGTTCTTTAACCATCACCACATTAGCACTGAACCCACATTTTGAGAGTGAAGAACATTTTCAATTGCTTTACATGTTTCATTTACAATTTCAATTCATAATGAATTTCAATGGGAAGCACATGCACCTCTACATTCCAGTGCACCATACCTTTCTAGTACTTATTCCTCATTTTTGATCAATTCATTTCCTTTCCTTTATGTTAATTTGATTGCACTTTTTGTAATGAAAGAGAGATGGGAAAAGAGATTGTGGAAAGAGAGCAAAAGCTGTGATTGCTTTAGTTCTAGTTCAGGTCTCAGCTTAGTCATTCAGTGCTAATTCCTCTTAATCAGCTCAGATGAACTGTGTGATTACTCTAGTGACTAAGAACCAGAAGTAACTGTGCAACCTCAATACATGACACCCAAAAAGCTCAGTCGTTGTATCATGCCTAGCATGGTCCAGAAACACTTGGGCCAGTGCAGCTATTGATCCCATTTAGAATTAAGGTCACTAATGTTAGTACTAGGGATGTAACAATACATTAATTATACTGTATCCAATTGTATTGAAGCTTATTATTTTGTGTCATTGTATCATGTCTAGGCTTGTGCTAGTGTGTTAGCTTGGGGCTAACATATTAGCTTGTGGCTAAGGCATTATATGAGCACACTAAAGCACAACTTCTTCTTCCAAATATTGTACTTTTGAAATGATGAATGTTTTACTAAACTAAAAATGGAAGCATGAACATTTTAACATAGTTAATATAAGGCATAGATTGTAGTCACTCATTTTTGCTGTATCGAAAGATGTACTGAAACATATCATATTGAAACGAATAATAAATCTGAGTTCAGAGTATGCCTTCAATTTAGTATCGAAATATAAGACAAAATCATACATGTATGTGGGGAGAGAACTCTGAGAATTTGGGTTGAAGTTCTGGGGGGTGGGGCTTCTGCTTGAGCTAGAAGACCAGACCCCCCTTTTTGATCAACAAAGATAGGATGGAGGAACAGGGGGCTGATGGGGTGGTGGTGGGATGAGAAAACTTTGTCATGGGAAATGTGAGGTAAAGATTTATAGAACGTTAGAATGGAAATACAAGCACATTAGATTGAAAGGAGGACGAGGTTCAGGCATGGTCCTCCTCCCAAACTTTTTGTGAATCGTTACACCCCTAATATGTAGGACCAAAAGGTTATTGGTTCTTACAACTTTGTAAAGCTATTGAGATCCGATCTTGATCCATCCTCTCTATTTTGGTAAAAGACTTAGTGTGAGCTTGAGTGCAGTAGTTGAGATTCAATAAAAGGTAGCAATGCCAGTGTTGCGTTATAAACACGCACTTTGTACACACTTTATGCACATTTTCGGTGGCCTGTACAGAACAGAAACTATAGATCTAGTTTTTTGTGGTTGATTTTCTCTTTTTTTTATTTCGAAGAGCACAGATAGTATTCAAAAATACCCTTTAGCTAACAAACCTGGCTATAACATATTTACCTCGCCTCTGAGGAAAGATCCATAAAAATATATCAGCTCATGTTAGTGATCTAGTATGAGTTGAATGTTTTATGAGGTCTTATTGCACAATGAGAAGTGTTGACCCTGTTCCTGCTGCTGGTCGAAGAATTTGGAACCAAGGCTGGCTAACGCGGTTCAGATTGGACTTGGTCATGAAGTACACACTCAAACACTCAAACTTTTGAACATGGCAGCCATTTTTTTTGTATCACTGGGTCACTACGAGTGTCATTACAGCTCATCCTGTGACAGGTTAGAGCATACCTGTAGAAAAAAGACAAAAAAGTAAAACAGATCAGCCCTTAGCATCTCCTCTTCTGCTCAGTCTAACTCAAAAAAATTAAGCTCTCATATCTTTGGGTCGCTCATGAAGGCCCTGTCTATAGGGAGCTGCGTGATTGTGTGGTTGATCGTCCGTTCTCTGCAGCAGCAAATGGGATTTTTCTTGCACGTACCTATCACAGGGTGAAAAAGTTTTCTGTATCTGAGCTCTCCAAGCCATATTAATCTCTACAAGCAAGCACTGCAGAAGTGTATGAATGTGTGCATGTGTAAACAATGAAAAAGCCCTTTACTGTGGTAGAAGATATGATATATTCACGGAAAGCAGTGGAAAGCGATGGAAAAATCAGTGTCTTTCTGTTACTTTTCCTTTTATGTTCTTTCCGGCTAAGTCCACAGTCTAAATAAAAACAGGAGTCATTTCAGCTGAGACCTCTGCATCAAACGTGTTGCGCTATGAACGTGATGTCCTCAGATCATTTGGATTTATTCATGAAATTTAGGCTGTTTCGTCTAAACATTGATAATAACATGCAGTTATAGAATATAGAAGAGAATATGTCTATATAAATATACTACCAGGGGCAGAAAAAAAACTGAATTTATGTTGTTTTTGTGCAGGTTGAGTGGACATACAAAAGAGAAAACGTTTGCCTGTGCAGCAAAAGTTATTCCAAAGATTTCAGTCTGACAAATGCTTTATCAACCACTTTACCCTTTCAGTATGCTGCATGCATACGCACTTGGGGCTTGGAAAGCTCCTGACCTGCTGCACCACTGACATCAAAATAGCAACAAAACTGTCTGCACACTCGACTTTAGTGAGGGAGAATCAGTGAATCTGGGCTTCAGCTGAGGATTTGGACATTCAATTAGGTAGATTTGAAAATTTAGACCTATTCAAACCATTTTAGAGGCTCCATAGTAATCCTTGTGATGGACAGAGCAGCATTCAATAGATAGTACTATGATTCTAAACAAAAACATATCAGTGGACACGGATATTCACGCGCACACACACTCACATGCACACGCTCAACTTTTCATCTTGATACTTTTACATGTAACCCATCCATGTGTCCCATTCCTTCCTGCACAAAGACCAGTAATGAAAAGAAAACGAGAACATGAATAGATCCTGTAGTCATCTAGTGCAACAGAAATCTAAACCATAGACACAGTGTAAAAAATATGGTGCGAGAGAACTCCGCCCTAGAGTGGCCTCTTTCAACAAAGGCTGTGGTGTTGTCCCTTGTTCTTGACATTGGATTAAGTTTGTCCAGTTTGTCCAGTGTTATTTAATGTCTGTTTGTTTGTTTTGCTTGGTTGATTGCGTGTCCACAAAATCCTGTCCTGCACTACATGTCCCAGAAAGCACTGCAGTAGTTCCAGGGTCCATCCCACTGGACTGAGCTCCGAAGTGCTTTGCTGGCTGCAATGAACGGCCTCCTCATCCCTCCTCATTAGTGGAGTTCTCCTCCAGGGAGGAGATGGTGGTGAGGTTATGGGAGGCTGTGATTGTGGCGACAGTATGGAGCAGGACTAGAACCAGCAGGCAGAGTTTGAGCCTGCTGTTGCACAGTCTGGAGGCTGCTGACGAGGTCAGGGATGTCCCGTGTTGGCATGACGGGTGAGTTCTTTTGAGAGTCCCTTTGGAGCTGTTGTCTGGCTTGCTGTCCCATCGAACGTCACAGCACTCTGCTTCTGCATCTGAAGGGTTGTCCTCTAGGAGCCCTGACAGACAGAACAAGATAGAGCACATTATCACACAGAATGATCCCTAAATCAATAGTTCAGTGAACTTTCCTCTTAACCAAAATGCAGTGGTTCAGACAAGACATGTTTGGTGTCTGACATTTGTTAGTTTTGCACTGGAGCTATAAGACTAATGAAAAGAAAATGTAGTCTTAACTAACAATGGGTACACCAATACAACGTTGGGCAATTTCACTAAATCATCACACATTTTTCTCAAACCATGTGGAGTCGTTAAGTAATTTGAATTAGACTTGCTGATATGGTTTCCGACAATGTCTGGACAAAAAAATGCACAAAACTGCATTGCATGACTAAAACAGTAGTAGCCCCTGAAATTTGTCCATGTTTATGTAACATTTGAATTTGGGCTGATGAACTAAAAGATACGTGGTTGTTGTTCAAGACTGTTTTTCCAAGTATGTAAATCTCTATGCAATTCCAGATCAGTAGCCAAAAGTCATTTTGAAAACTGCATTCGGGAGCATGGCATCCCAAAATGACGCACCGATCAAGGCCGTCAATTCAAGTCTGACCTCATCAGTCATCTGTGCAAATTGCTTGGTGTTCAGAAAACCTGAACAGGCCCATATCTTCTTCAATGTGACGGCATGGTCAAGCGCTTCAATAGAAATCTCGCTGGCCAGCTGGCTAAGTCACTTGCCCAACAGCCTGCTGAGTGGGATGATTGTCTCAACCAAGTTGCGCTGGCCTACAACATGCTACATCAGGCTTTAGCCCCTTCTTCCTCACTCATTGATGCAGAGCAAGAATGCCTGCTAAGCTGCTGTTATCTACCAATATACTATCTACTTCTAAACCAGGATCACCTGCAGATTATGCAGCACTCACAAACTCCAATCAGTCTTTGAGTTTGCTGCACAAAACAGAGATTATGCGCACAGCCAGCAAAAACGACACAACGTCAAGCTTATCAAACACACTCTGTATACTCCAGGAGACCTTGTATTGTTAAATGACCCCAACACAACAAGACAGAAGATTGCTCCTCACTGGAAAGGTCCCTTTGAAATACAGGTGTGCCTTGGATCTGAGGATAACTCTCCTGGGGTGACATACAGGATCCATTATCTGCTGAACCAGTCTGATAAGTCTTAAATTGTCCATTCTAATCGCCTGAGGCCTAGCCTCTCCCCTGTACCTCCTGAAGGGTGTGACACAATTGCATGTGACTTACCTCAGCAACCTCAACTCCCACGCTTGACTGCTTTGTCAGGTGGTCTATCCTTCACACCTTCACACATCACAGTCTACAAGCATCAGGACCCTTGAGGTAGCTGCTGACAGCCAATCTCCTTCAGCATCTTCACAGACTTGCCCACCTCAAGTTAATACACCTTAGCCCCAAGCTTTAGCTCCTGACCCCTCATGAGCCTCTGTTAGTCAGTCAGTCACCTGCCTTCCCCCTTGCTGCTATGGGTCAAGGTTCAGGCTGTTCAGTGCGCCCAGGCCGACGTCAAGTGAAGGTGCCCAGTTACTTGAAGGACTATGCTCTGATGTACACACACAGACCACAGGACTTTGTTTTTCCACTACTGACACTGTAGTGCAGTTGCTTTCATCTTGGACGTTTCTTATGTGAGAGGGGAAAGAAATGTAAGATTTGAATTTGGGCTGATGGACTAAATAGTTTCATAGTTTTAAACGTTTTCCACTTTCATGCTGAAATGTTTCATTCTGGCAGTATAAAAGTCTAAAACATTTTAGCAAAATTAGTATTCTTTGTTTATTATCATGTATATCCATTCTGCCTTGTGATTGCTTTAGGAAGTCACATGAAGTAAGAAGTACAAAGAAGTTGCATTGCTGTAAAAAAAAACAACAACAATACTGTGAGGCTCATTCAAAATGCTGCTAGATAATTATCTGTCTCCATCTTGCTTTCGTTTCAAGTCAAGCGTGATCCAACCACCTTCTGTCAAACCCCACACTTTCATTTGCATTAATTTTTATGGATAACAGTATGACATACAGCGTCAGAAACAACATAAGTCATGATCATTGCATGATGGTAATTTGTGTACCTTAGGTACATTAGCCTCATAGCTTAGTGCAAAACTACAGAGGCAAACTTCAGATACCCAACATTTTTGGCTTCACTACATTTGGGTTAAGGGGAAAATTGTGTAAACTTGTTTTTCTGCCAAACTATCACTTTAGGCCACTAGCTATAACTACATTGTTATGGGAACTTTAGCTGTCATATTGTATTATTCTGACATCTTGAGATCACTGTGTTTTTCACAATACTAACACTGACATCACAACCTTGAGTATCGGCCAATGTGGACTTCAATATGATATTTGTTCTTTAAAAACGTAACTTTAAAACAATTTATTTTTAACTGATGCACTTCACTCACAATGAGCATCTAAAATTAGGCTCAAACTACTCACTTTATGACCCCACAGGAAGAAATACACAGCTAACATCACATCACACAATATAAGTGTTTGCCATTTCAGCCAAGATTTGTTACAAGATCAGATCAGGTTTTTCTTTTCCCTCCGATATCTGATTCAGTATTTGCTGACATTGGCCCAATAGCAACACCCATTGCTATCGGATATGCCATCACGACCAAATGCTAAAGTAAAATATCAGCGACATCGCTATAAAAAGTTATGCCCCACCTAACAGTTTCAGGAAAATCTGTTAGTGCTTATATTTCCTCCATGTCATCAATCTAAGCCGCATGTCTGGATGACTGTGTATTTGTATATGTAGGGGTGAGTTTGAAAGAAGCATGAAATTTTAATGTATGAAAGGAATTTGCCACCACTCTGCAGAGTTAAAATGATGATAGGGCATGACCACTCAGTCTGAATGTGTGACTCTGCTCTGCATTTATCTCCATTCATTAGCAGTCGGCCTCAGCCAGAGAGGGCAAACCAGCCATATACGTTACTCGGCACATCAACAGGGATTATGCAACATGCACGGCCTGAAGAAACCGCAATTATAACATCTAAACTCCATACTCTAGTATTCTCTCTTCTCAGAATGGGGGACTTCTGTTATTTTGTCACACCTCTCGGTAGAACGTGACTGACAAAACTTTTCAAAATCACTGGTGCACATGTCACTCATAGTTTTTGAGAATGGCTATAGGCCACTAAGTGAATTCAAATGTTTTTAGAGAAAACTCTATGAACTAGACGACTTTTACAGCTGATGATAGGGGAAACCAGAGCAGCCTTCTTCTGTGAAAAACTGGGCACTTAAAAATACCCACAACTTCTCTTTATGACCAGCAGGTGGTGACAGAGACAAATTTAAACGTGATCGGGGACCCACGATTTCACTGCACTGCAATGCAACCAAGCACACAGCACACACAGGAACCGAAAGAATCACACTGCCCACCTGTGCATATAAAACTAGGGCTTCCGCCATAAATGAGCTCATCGTTGTCAGGCAATATGAAGGGACACCTCTGCTGGACCTCCAGGCAGTACTGCCTGCATGGGATCCTGTTGCTGCAGTGCATCTGCGTGGTCTGGAAGTACTGGGAACACAGCCAGTGTTTGTAGACAGTCTATGAGAGATAAAAAGAGAGAGAGAGGAATCGGGGTTAGCAAGGACCCATTGCAATTGGTTACATCATTGGTACTGTGGTAACGGTCATAACCTAATCCCTCCCACCCTTGTATCTTGGCAACCCTGGCACATCCTCCCTCTGCAGCCTGTAGCACATACACTTATTTTCCACTTCTCCAACATACAGTACTCCCCTTCCTACTGTTTTATATAAAATACCCTGTACATTATGCCCACATAACAGACTCTTAAAAATAACAGAAATGACAGAAAAGGTTCTTTGAGCAATCACATAAAGGAACCACAGTTTAAAGAATCTTCATGTAACATGAATGTTATATACAAATTAAAGGGTTTATCTACTGTAAATTCAAGCCAAAAACCATTTATAGCCAAGAAGCACTGACTGCCCATACCAAACCACACTGACCAGTTCAGTTACAAATCTATAATTGTGCATTTTGTCATCATTTTACTGCCAAGTGACCTGTACTGTACCTTGGTACCCATGCAGAATGTGGTTACTTTTATATGAGTGGAGCTTGTAATGGTGCAAACCACTGACTGGTCAAACACCACCACAGAATCATCATGTGGTGTCAATGGAGTCAACCAACATTAAAAAAAGATTGCTAACTAGTCAGAAATGCTGTCTGTCACACTCACATGAAACCTAAGTAGGAGGTAAAACAGACCTTAAAGCTCTTCTGTTGTTGCTACTGTTGTGTTTACTTTTAACATGTGAGAAATCAAGTGACCGCAGAAGCTAAAGAGAACGCCGCCTATATTCATGATCCCTTCATGCGATGGGAAGCAGGCATAGGTACTCATCCAGGGACAGTTCTGGTTTGGACATGTAACCATACCGTGCTGTACCACACTCCCCAGTAAAACAACACTGCCATTAGAAACCAAAAATGTCCATTTGACCTTGATGCCTAATCAATTTCAGTTGCACGTCAGTTTCAGCACTGAAAATAAGTGCTTAGCATCATGTTTTTGCAATGTTAAAGCCCTGCTCGCTTCCTGACGTGTTATGTCAAATCAGTTTAAACTGATCCCCACTACAGTAGACTTCTTGTTCTGAAATATCCTTTGTCAAAACCTGTGTAGAGTCCTCAAAAGGAAATGCATGATGTTACTTCAGGCAGCCTATGAATCATCAAACCTTGGAGAACAAAGTGGTGGAGACGTCTCTTTTTACACAGGCAGGCGTTGAAGGTTATGCTGTCGGAGTTTAAAGCCCCGAGACGGCTCACTGCCGCGAAAGGCCGCCGTGGTGGAAACGGCCAAGGCTCGGCAAGGGCCATCTGATGTTAAACAGCGTCTCTTATGTAGACAAATGTACCATTGTTAAAGGACGTAATAATCAAACGAAGGCATTTGTAAACAAGCAGTGAACTGTTCGGCCCTGAACACCGTGGCCTTTATGCGCACTGATGGATGCATGATGGTCCTCGATGTAGCCACTCAAACAAAAGAAATACAAATATGATACTAAAAGCATTTGCTTTGACAGTTTCCTTTTAGCACAATCTGATACGCTGGTCAGCATTAACGGGCTTGATGAATGAGCACTAATGCACTAATGGCACTTTGTAGCCGAAAGCCTGAGCACGTCTGGCAGGTTCTTCCAGTGGCCATCATTCACAGCTAAGCTAGCACATTACATCATCTCGCCATGCCTATCATAACCACTAATGGAGCTGATTCATTCCTCTTTTACCTCTCTCATCTTCATTCAGCACATCACAGAAGAGAGAGATAGGCAGATAGGTATACGGGCAGACAGAGGGAGGGGGGAGCTTAGTGTATACAATAAACAAACGTTGTTGGTCTCTGTGCTCCTGACTCATAGCAGTTATCAGTAGTGGTCATGCGATAAGCTTGTTGCTACAATATGTTTCTGTCAGCAGAGAAACAGAGGCATATCCCCGGCTCCTTCCCAAACAGCAACTCCTGTAATTATGAGCGCAATGAATCACTGCCTTCGCCTTAAGCACAGCGTCTCGCCTGACTGCACATCACACGGTTGTACATCATGTCACGTCTCCGGCGAGATGAAATATTTATGTGGCGTCACTCGTGTGGACTCTCTAAAAAGCACATTTCCTTCTCGCTCCTGCCTTCATTCTCCTGTAAGCGCTTATTAGATTGTCAGGGAGCAAACCTCTCGGCAGGCGTTTGCTAATGTCTGTTCACATAATGGATCCCTCCTGAGACGCGGGGAAGCAGACATTAGTGGAGGATGACAGATCACACAGAGGGGCAGAAACAAAGCCTCCACTCCAGGTCGTTCCAGGCTGGCCTGATTGACATTCAAGGCAAACAGATTTTCAGAAGTGAAATCAGCCGACAGGCTGTCACAGTTATCTGAGGACATCGCAATGTGCTCACATCAGCACTATAGATGTGACAGAGAAAACGCTGGCCTAGGCTAATATTTATCAAATCAGTTTTTCTGAGCTCTGCCAGCGTAATCAACGTGACTTATGATTAAACAATCAGCCGCCTTAAAACGGGCGAACGCACAGCGAATGAAACCCGTCGCAGCAACAAGGTCAGCACTGTCTTTGCGTATTAATCCTCAAGTGCCTTTGTCTGGCTTTTGGCCAAGCGCTTGTGAGGAGATATTAAAGGGGACATATCATGAAAAAACAAACTTTCCTCTATTTCTTTTAAATAAAAGTTAGATGTAGTGCATCTACAGCCATTATTATCGCTGATCCACATGCACTGTTTATGAAAATATGACTTGTTGTGAAGTCACAAAAAACACATTTACATATACGATTGTGGTGGTGGGAGATGTGGCAAATATAATACGTCCATATTTCAATAAGTTATGATAACAATAAATATTTTCATATTGCCCAGCGCTGTACACTCATATGAAGTTTTATTGATTTGATTGAACACATCCTCTACAGGGGAAAAGACTTAAAATGTGCCATAACTTCTGCACAGGCCACATTTTATATATTTCAATAAAATAAATAAAATTTCAATTGTGCAGATGTGTGTACTGCAGAGAATATGTTAATTTATTTAACAAATCAACAAAACATGTCATTTGACCATGGGTGCCCAAACCTTAAATATCTTTTACATACAGAAGAGTCCAAAAGTCTGAGACCGCATTGAAAATCTGAGATTTTTTTCATTTAAACCTGGAAATAAACAACAGAAAGTTTTGGTATTTTGAAAAAAAGTTTTTAAAACAAAGAAAAGTCATGACAAATTATGAAAAGTTATCTTAAATGAGCAAGAATTATTTTAAGGAGTCTGCACTATTTCTAGGTCACCATTTAGTTTAAGCAAATTTGTAAAATTGACCATGTTAAGGCCTTTGTACAAAAAACTCTCTTTGACTCTTATTCCTTCCACTGAAGCACAAGTTCAGATGATGATTTAATCTACTCATCAAAGGCTTTTGCATGAATGAGTGAAGTCCACATGAAAAACTAGGAAAATCTGAAATTCATGTAAATATTTCAAAGATCCTATAACTTTACAGGAGCAGGACAACATTTTATTACCTTTAATGTTCAGTGTTAAATAATGTAAAGAGACTGTATTTCAATAGTTTTGGAGCATTTCTATTGGTTCTTTGTTATGTAATTTTACACAATGTAAATAAAACGCTTGTTTTGTTCGTTATTTGGCTTTTGTTTGACTTTTTGGACAGGATGGTATAAATCAAAAATGGACCTCAGGAAAAAACTAAAGAAATGAAAAATGTAGCATATGGGCCCGTTGAATTCTGAGCTACTACACGTGCTAATATAACGTACGGCTAGAAACGAAGGAGCAGGAGCTGTATGCTTCAAAATGCCCAAAGACAGTAAGCACACGCACACATGCACACAAATCCACACTGCACACGAGGCAAGCCCCAGAGAGTGTGAGGGTGGCTGTGAAGGCATGCTGTTGGCATTTGGAGCTGGCACATGATGACATTAATCCTGAGCTCATTTGCTGTAGCATAGTGTGGGCAAGCCTGCCTGCATCGAGAGAGAGAGAGAGAGAGAGAGAGAGAGAGAGAGAGAGAGAGAGAGAGAGAGGGAGAAAGGCTAATTCCACCAGATCAGCTGAGACTGGGTGGGGAGTGCAGACACATGGATCCATCAGACCGTGAATGTCACATCCTTCATCAAGACTTTTAATCTGTGCCATCATCGCTGATATTTCCCATCAACACGGCCTGCGGCAGGTCTGCTTCCTGTTCCCGGCTCTATCCTGCAGACGAATCTACAGCTGCGCGCTGCTGCACTCTGCAAAAACTGTCACAACCTTCACTCATGACTCAAACACTCAAACACGTGCTGACAACCCAGACAGAGTGACTGACTCACTCACTCACTCACTCACACACACAGGTTTGTATTAATACATTCTCAGGCCATGGAGGCCTACATATGCCCTGTGTGCATTATATACAGGGGCTCAAAAAGTCAACATCTCCTTCCACAAGTGATATGTCCTTAAGGCCGTTAGCATTGTGGATGACCCCTCCCACCCCTCTCAAGGACTCTTCACCCTGCTGCCATCCGGCACAAGGTACCGCCACCACAAAACTCCGCAACAGCTTCTCCCCCAAGGCGGTCATATTATGAAACACACTCCCAACATACACCTGGACTGATCTAGACCCTTTCCAACATCCACCATAAACTGATCACACACCCCTTTACCATCACTGCACGTCTGCACTTTAAATTCTATCTGAATCTGCTATGAGACCTTGACAGTGTTCACACTAGTGCCTTCATCACTCACATGCTGCTTGATGCCAATCCATTGTGTATACTGTTTTGTTGTCCTGGCTCATGTTTATTGTCTTGAGTATTTATTGTTCTGCATAGTTATTGTCTGATGTATTTATTGTATTTTCTAAACTCATTTCACACTGTCATGTATCTGCACTCTGTGTAGTCCTGTGTGATGTGCTCCAGTTGTGTTTTGCACCATGTTGCCTGAAGAAGAACATTTTGTTCC